TTAATCAGTTTTCAATAGAATAAATTTCCCTTGCATTGTTTACCATGCATTTAATGCGCCAGTAAAGCGCACAGCCAAAACAGGAAGATAAACTGTATAGTAGGAAATTACACAGGTAAACAGTGGTGATTCTTATGAAATATGGAAGCTACATAAAACACTGTTATATTTGATTATTAATTAAAAAACATTTATTAAAAATCATGACTGTAATACAAATACTGGTTAAAAGGTTTTAGGCTGACAAAAAGAAAAACAAAGTGCCATGTAATATTAATAATAATAATGTCTTCTTATTTGGCACACGTATCCATCTCTAGCAGAGCTGCTCACAGCGCCGTTTTCCACTTGCAAAGGCAGCCTTTTTTGCATTTATTTATTTTATTATAATTACGTGCTTATTTATTTGTTTTTTGCATATTAATTTTATTTTAAACTGTGATGAGACCACTGGGCTAGGCTCCTCCTTGAAAATACAGTAGGAAGGGAATGATGGGACTTAAAATAAATCACAAAACATTGACATTAAAATATAGTTAAACACACAACAAGTTTAGTAAATTGTATATTTAAATTGACATTTTATCACAATTATTATACTGTACAAATTGTATCAAATTTTGTTTTTGACATCATATGACATGTCATACTATAGACCATACTGTTTGCAAATTTATTTCATGAACCTGACTTACTAAACCAAGGGGCTCGAGTTGTTTTGATTTGGTAAACTGCAGTTTCTGGCAATGCCATGGCCTGATAATGAGCTAAAAAATATCTAATTATTTTTTTCTTTATTTTTATTCATGCATGGATGATGCCACCTGAATTTCCTACTGTCACAGTTTTTCTACCTGTTGGTTTGTGTGTGCACTGATGTATCAAGTCCACACTTGTTAACAATGCCAAGGTATATTTTAATATTTTTTTACTATGGATTAATTTAATGTTCGAAATGGGAGTTTGGGTTCATTTTAATTCAGCCAGGATCTGCCAATCAACTTAAATTAAAAATCTGATATCTACTTTTAGTGCTTAACGATTTTCGCATGGCACCGTCTTGGCTACCGCACGTAATACATTTGGATTATAAGTAGAAGCAAACATTGATTATAACACTGATGTAAAAGTGAAATGGCTTCAGTCAAAGGACTACTCAACAACAGTCTCTGACTAAATTGATTGGTGAGCACTCGATCCATCAAACATGTACACAACACTGGCATTGACAGAGTTAAATAGCAAAGGGGTGAATGTACATTATTAGTCTATTGGAACATTTAGTGTGGTTGCTTACAAGCAGAGGTGGATCCAGATAAAAATCTGGGCTATGCGATGCCTGAAGCACCCTTATTTTCTTGAACTCTTTTTCCTCTTTCTTTTTCTCCTTTTTTTTAGAGTGGGGTCCTAGCCATTATGGCCCTCCCAACCCCGAATCTGCCCTGACAGAAGAAAAGCTCTAACACTTTGATGGATCACTTTTTTAATGAGGTTCTGAAGCTACCTTACAAAATACAGATTACTACACTGATTTCCCTCCAAAATACCAAATTAGTGTTTCAATTCAATAAGGAAACATATCAAATTACAGATACAGTATCTCGGAGCTAAATATTCAAAACTGTATTAAATGAAAGGGTTACGAACACAGTTCACAAAGTACTGAATATGATAAGTTGTAATACTATATTTTCTGCCAATTGATCTTTGAATAAATCATCTTTTCTTTAAAATAATTACAGCTGGAATCTGGGCAAAGAACAATTTGTCCATTTAAGTCTCACTTAAGCTTTTCAGAATCCTCAGTGTAGTTAAGAATTTATTATAAAAAACATTATGCAATAATTAACAAGATTTGGAATATCATTTACATATCAGTTCAGTAAGGCAGATGGTGCAGCAACATGATTTCCAATTAAGAGGTCAGGGAATGGAATCTAAGACAAGGCCCTCTACAGTCTCCACCAAAGAGGTAAATGGGTACTTAGTTGGGTTACATGCTGAGAAGAATATAGCTACTACAACTATAAAAATGAATGTTGCTGCTGCTCTACCACTGGGGAAGTAATGTATGAGTGCATTTGAACATGTAATAAAATTGGTATTGGTATTGGTGTTGGCACAGATAATATAAATTATAATATTACTGTACGTAAAGTTTAAAGTATAACTCAGTACTAGCTTGAAAAACAAATAGAGGAATAGACTCAAAGTAAACTACTGTATGTGAATGTAACTGAATGCTTTAGAATTGAGTGAACTTATCACCATGTCCCTACTAATTTTTCACAAAAGGGCACTTCAAGTTCATACCCACCTTTTTTAAAGACATAACATGTCAGATGTCTGGAAATGGCAATAAAAATGCCAAATTTCATTTTTATTTATTTTATTTAATTTAAAAACTTTCATGCAAATGGTAATTTTTAGCAATAATTCAAAAGAGTATTTCTGGAAAAGAAATGTTTTGCATGGTCTACCTACAGTACTGGCCAGAATTATCACAAAAATCACAACGTATTTTACCCGTTGCCGTTGCGTTGTGTTTTCGTTGAATTGCGTTGCATTCACGTTGCGTTGAAATGAACGTTGAAAGTTCATTGTTTATATAACGAAACCGTGTTAATTCAACACTAACCTATCTCGCGACGGTAATGTTACAATGATTATCAATAAACAACGTCGATTAATTTTGGAGACCAATGTATTGTTAAGATATATATATATATATATCTGTCTCTTATACACATCTAGATGTGTATAAGAGACAGGTAATAAGATGTGCAGACGCTGTGTGTGCGAGGATGGTCTGTATTTTGAGAGTGACGGTCATTGTATTGCACCAGAGTTTTGTGGTTGTTACGAAGATCGCCTTTCAACGATTTACAAACGCCGTCGATAGACGGATTTAATTTAAACAAAAGTGCAAGAAAGAAGTACAGTATAGTGTCTTGATTGATGCCAATCGTGCAATCGAAAAAATAAATATTATACAGGTAAACCACAAGAAACCAGATCTTTCAATAACTGTAAAATAAAAATTGCAGAATGACTAATAGACTACCAAACGTCATTACACAGTGAAGTATAAACACACAGCGTATGATTCTGATACCACCAAAATGTCAATGACCCTGTTGACTGGAGGACCTGGTTGCAGATCGCGCAAACTCTGACGTGTTATTTTTTTAGTTGTAGCGATGACTAGAAGTCTGTGCCGTCACAAGGCTGGTATTTGTGACGTTATTGTTGAACCTCTTGAATTTTATATAAATATCCTGGCTATGGATGGGCGTTTTTTGTTTTTTTTTCTTTTTTTACTGAAGGTTGGTTAAAACACAACGGTAAATTACATGGATACGGAACGGGGCAGTGTTGACATGCACTGTATTATATTAGGTTGACCTGAAAACACTTGTCTAGGTAGTTGGGCATAGGCCTACAGTAGGCTATGCGGCACTAATCCTAAAATTAGGCCTAGATATAATAGAGTTATTTGAGGAGATGTATTGGTGAGTCATTTTGAAAATTTTAATTTTCTTGTTACTTTGTTATTTTTTTTAATTTTTTTTTCTGTTATTTAATTGAGTGGAGTATTCACATTTACATCGAACACCTGTCAAGCTCGTGTCGTATTCCTTTTCAATGTCGTCACAATCAAAATAGACCTGGGCCTAGCTAGGCTATCTTCAACTCGTCTCCAATCTTCACTTAATCACCTTATTTCTTTACTACAATTATGTAAGTGGCTGTTTATTTAGAAAATGTTAACGCCTATTTATTTACTGTACAAACTGTTAATACAAAACTTTGTGTTGAATTCTTAATAAACAATTTCTAACGAGGTGAACATTTTCAACGCCAACGACAATGCGTTGTCAACGCCAACGGGTTGAATGCATTTAAAATTTGGGATAATTCTGGCCAGTACTGTACCACCCACTGAAAAACTGAGTCCAAATGGTCTGCAAGTTCAAAACTTTCCAAATGTTGATCAACTTTAATAATACACTATGATGAAGCCAGCACAGACTGTAATTTGTAATTTGTATAAAGAAATCAATAACCTGCTACCAACATTTCATTTCACACTAATTAGTACAGTAAACCCAACTGTCCCAAGCCATTCAGTGCCCTGCTTTCATCTGTTTCCAATGTCACTATTCCCCCATTGCAGAGTAATTATATTCAGTACAGATCCTGCAGTTTACCAATAAGTTGTTGCCAATTTGCATTGCAAGTACAGAATTTTAATGCATGCATGTATGTACAGTGTAAAATCAGCAAATTATAGTTCACTAGATGGTTTGGTCATGATGTGCATATATGTGCAGTAGAAGCATTTTAATAGCCATTAAAGTCGGGCACATACTGCGATGTACTGTACAGTAATTCCATCTCTGCTCTTTGTCAGCGTTGATGACACGATGCCATCTGCCGATTGTTGGTGGCAAGTCTGGATGGACTGTCAGTAAAAAAGATTTGAAGTGCGCACGTCATCATGTTGTCCGACACCCTTCAACCACAGTGCGTGCGTAGCTTTAGAATATTTCGTGCAATACAACTTTCCTTTGATAGCCAATGAAAATCATCGGTGGTGGTAGTGCTGTTAAGGTTGTGCTTGTGTTTCAGTGTATAAATAAGTCAATCAACTTTCACATTTATGAACCATCTCAAGTAGAAAACAGAATTGTTTAAATTATAATTACACAGTTAAATGATATCCAAGAATAATAACATTATGGCAATTAGTTAAAGACTCTCCAAACAGGACTAGCTTTAGGCAGCCCTGGATAAATGCATGCAGAAGACATTTTATGTTTATTATTAATTATTTTTTTAATTAGATACCAATGCTGTGAAAAAAGCAAATGAAAATCCCAGTCCCAAAAGTTGTCTATAATTGGGAAGGCAACCTATTTAATATTAATTAGGGAACTGTTTTATTTATTATTATTATTACCGTATATATGTGACAAAGAATGTGTGATGTTACTTACCTGTTGGTTGAGGTCAGCTTGGCAGTGAAGCCATGTCTCTTTTCAAAAGGGAAGGTAGGAACGGAGAGTACTGCATTTTCAAGTACACAATGTGATGCAAGTCCAATGTTTTGACCTGAACTTGGGGTACATTCAAGTTTTAGAAATGATCCTTCATCCATTGCTGTTGGTGTATACACCTTTGAGGTGCCAACCTCTTGCCAATGGCTAACTATTGGCACTTTTACATCCATACCATTATCACATTTTTCTGATGCATCATCAGATCTCCTCTTCTTCATTTCTTGACACTTATTATCGATGATATCAGTAGATTTGCATGTACCAGCTGAATCAGAAAAACCTCGGTACCAGACATATTTTGTAAGAGAATCATCTGCGAACTCTAATGACAATCTAGGAAAAACTGGGCAACTAACAATGGCACAACGAGGCAATTTAATGTTTGTTACTGTTGGTGAATTACGATATACAGAATATTTAACTGATCCAATATTTAGAATGGCTCCATTTATCCATGCCTCAATATTTGCTAATGACTGATCTATCTCTTTGCCAAAGCAATTGTGCAGAGATACTAACAAATTCTGCTCATTTTGACTGACAGACGAATTTTGGTCTTGTTTCATTTTCTTAGTTCGTTTACTGATAACCTTGGTTTTTTTAAGAACTGATGCACGAATTCTGGTTAAAGCTCTCTCTACTTGTTCGCTCTTGTCACGTTGTAAACACAAATTCATGCCAGCATAAACGAACAATATGCTCATCGTTTCCCCCTCTTCGACACAACGAACGTTCACCCTTTCCATGGGGGTGTGCAAATGTAGGCCTACACGGCAACCAAAAATTTTAAGATCCTTAAGTGTTGTTCGCGGCGACTTAGGCCTATTATTAAGCGCAAAGGTTTCCAACAGATCAGGCGGTGGCCTAGGAAAAACACGTCTAAAGAAAGCCCTCATAAAAACAACCTTAGTCGATTCGAGATATCACATAATTTCATTCATCATATGTATTTATAAGTACTCTTCTTAGATCAATTTTTTTTTTAAAGATAGTCTAGGCCTCGAAGCTCAGGCCCTCGCGTAATGCATACACATGTGAGAGGTATTTAAGTTATACCAAACAGGTCGGTCACTCATGGTTGACCCTACTATATTAAATACATGTTTTACCAATCACAGATATGTTATTGATTATGTTTGCATCAAAACACAGATTAAAAATATTCAAAAATGTAAATTGATGTAAAAAAAATGTTTACTTTCATTTTTTATTTAGAAATTATTATTTTTTATTAGTACACAAATCAAATGTAAAAAATGTCTGGAACCGATGAGTCTATTATAACAGACCATGTGGTGGCGCTACGTCATAGAATTTTTCCAGAAGCTAGGGAAGCTCAATCAAAAGAATCAGTTTAAAGTAACAAAAACACAAATAAATAAATAAATAAATGGCCCTCGCGTAATGCATACACATGTGAGTGATGAAGACGTTTTCCCCGACGAGGTCAAAAGTCACAACACGGTTTGATTAAAAATCGAAATGTATAAGCAGGCCGCCGATCTTGGGATTATGTAAAGTCTGGTTTTGGCCATTCATACCGTAATACAATAGAGACCATGTTTAATGGTCTGTTGCATCTTTGGTCTTAAATTAGAAAAATAATCATTATAAAGATCAGGGAACATTAAATTACAGTTAATTAGTTCCCTGTAAAGTTAAAAGGATCGTTCATCTGAACTTCACTCAGTGTGTGGCGTACGACGAGTCCCCGGGGGAAAGAAAATGTTGGGGAACATGTCAGTGGTGGTGGTAGTTTCTGGTTTCACTTAGCTGACGAACAGGCCGAGCGGAGTGGTGCATCCATTAGACAATGACGATGTAATTTAAATATAGCGTACTACCCCCTGGATTGATGTCCATCAGGACAGAGAAAAGTAGTCTTAAAATAAGGTGGTATTGAATTGGAGGCCAACTGTGGCTAATTATAATTTCATTTCTTTTATTTCTTTTTTGTAACATAAACAAACACGGAGATAATAACAGGTAAGTTAATAAATGATGTCCAGGGCGGGTTGTTGTGTGGGGGTGCTAGAAATCAATCTTACAAACTATACAATAATAGCAATGTAATTGCTTAAGTCACAATTGGGTTTGCTTGTTAAAGGGGATTAGCTTGTCAAGGGTTTGCTGAAAAAGGGGGTTTGGCCGAACCCCCAGGACCCCTTTCTACGGGCCTGTTCACCTGGGTGTATCTCTTGAGTCCTGACTGGTCGTTATACAGAAGTATTTTCCATAATATGTTTCGAAATGCGCTTTACCAACGTTTTATTCGCGACCCTCAGAAATGTATTGGCGACCCGAATTTGGGTCGTGACCTATAGTTTGAGAAGTATAGGCCTATGGGTCTAAACGGTATGACGCTCACCGAGATAGCGAAAAACTGCAGGTCCGATTCCCACCAGCCCTTTCGTTGATGAACTAATAATAATACGATTATAATAATAATAATTAATACGATTCATAACATTATTTTTCTCTGTATAGCGCTGTTATCATTTGTACTCCAGCTCACCTCGGTCCCACGCGTTGTGGGCGTATATCAGTTGTTTGAGGTGTCCTGTTGGGTTGTATCTGCGATCCAACAGCCCATGAACACTAAAAAGTAGACCAACCCTGGGTTCTGTCTAGGATTTGTGCCCTCGGGGAAAATCTTAACTGGGGAAGGGGATTTTCCACCCCCACACCACCTTCGAAATCTTACGAGCGTCACGCCACAGTTCATGTCTCCATGTAGGCATTGGGCAAAAGTTTTAACGGTGGTCTTTTTTTCCTGTCGTCCTGGTTTTCATATCGTCCATTTTAAGGGTATTTAAAAGATTTCGAAGCGGGTTGGTGTACGTGGTTTGACGAAATATATCTGTTATATTACTGTTAATTACCGTCTGTTATTTTTAAAAAGCTTGATTGATAAAATTAATTAGCCTACTTGTTTAGTTTAAGCAGGCTAGTTTTAATTGAAAATCAGAATAAGATAAATTCTTCGCCTTTGATCAACATAAATACAGTTCCTTTCTGTGCACTATAGACAAAAATGTTAAATGGTAATCAATTCAATAAATTTTATATTTAAAAAAAACAGTGAAAACCTGTTTAGTTTTATCTGTGTTTTATTGGAAGTTAATTGATCCTCTATAACAATAATTTAATAATGATGATGATCATCATAATAATGGCAATAATAATAATAGGTATAACCCAATATGGCCCGGGTTAGTACCCGTAAAGTGTCACACTTATCACTAAAATCTTTGAAATAAATTACGAATGCGAGTCGTAAACCCAGCATTTGTTTTCGTCATTGAAATTCTCATAATGTATCAGTTCACAAGCAAGAAAAAGAACGTGTGTTTTACCATGGCGACGGTCTAAGATCAATGACGTCACTGTTCCGTAGCAGCCAGCGAAGATTCTATTGAGATAGTGATTCATTTCAGTGTGCATCCATTATACCTTATTAATATTTTCAGACCAAGAATCATCATTAATCCCTAGTACATGTAATCGTTGAAGGTACATTTACAGAAGAGTAATCATGCGGTTTAGACGCAAACGTTTATATACAAGTACTGTAGGCCTACTTCGTATATACATATATACACATACATATATATGTATATCTTATATATATAATGTAGACCTATGATTTTACTGGTATCATATTACTTGTTATTGTATACCATAATAATTATTATTAATCAAATTTATACCGGTATCATATTACCGTTTTCTACGACACTTTTATATTTATATAGGCCTACCATGTAAGTTCATACCATAAATCGTTCAGTCGACGTAGTTTGGCGTTGCGCGGGAGCCGTTTGGTTTTCCAACCTTAAGATTAAGAGTTTCAATCCCTCTCTGAGCCAGTAGCGGCGCCAGCGGGGTGGCAGGGGGCTTAAGCCTATATCCTAGAGCACTTAACTCGTGTCCTTGATTTGAGCAAGGTACCGTACAGAAAGTAATGCCCTGACACTACAATTTAGGCCTATACATTTTTTAACGCTTATTTAATCGATTTTATAGTCTCATAATTTGAAAATTACATAGATTTGTTTCTCTCTCTCTCGAAAGAAGTGTGTTGGGCTAGCTCCCCGATTGAGGTGGTGAAGAAGCTCAACGGGGCGCCCTACACCCTCTCCACCTGACATCCAACTGGTGCCACCATTGGAAATAAGGCCAAACTGAAAACAACTTGGGAAATCTACTTGTTTATATCCTTCAATAAAAGGAAGCTCTCTCACAGTTCTGGAGTTTTAAATTAGAGGTTATTAATGAATACTATAATGAGGTAAATGCCCAGACTGATAATCATTTATAATATACACAGCGCATGCGCAACTCAATCATTATTGCTTGTCAACGAACCTTTAATATTCTTATTGATTCAAAAACCTCGAAGACAGGTAAGTGGTTTCTGTGATGAAATTAATTTAATTTGTATTTCAAAGAGTTATGTCAGCCAGTGCGATCACAAAGATGATTGATAGAACTAAAAAGAGAAGACAAGGAAAAAAATATATTCAAATTCCATATTCCAATTAAATGTTACATGATCGGTAAACAACGACTTCGATCGTCATGGTTTCAATATAGAATCATTTTAGTGCTTCTGTTGATTCAATACTTTCTCATTCTTTGAAGGTATGCTCATTAACGCATTGATAGTTTTCCGTGAACTGTTTTGTTATCTAGACACACCCAATAAGGTTCACACGGTATTAATCCACATGATCTTTGAATATCCAACCAATCACGATCTGTCTTAGAAATACGAGTAAGGCGGGTGATTTTTTTTTATCAACGACGAGCGAACGACCGTTTCAATCATACACAAGAGTAAAGCCCTCATGCACTTCGTTGGCATCGGATTCATACCGGGTGATGATGCGTCTCGCTAACGGAACGCGCGTATCATCCATAGTTCCCATCTCAATACGTAAGTCAGTTTGTTTATTACTTAACTTGCGAATAAAAAATGAAAAAATAGATAGTGTATAGTATATGTACAGTTAGTACGTACCGTATATGTGTGTACAGTGTACAATACACTATATTGTCACATAGATTAACACTATAATTTGTACCGTGTATATATATATACATATATATATATATATACTGTCTCTTATACACATCTAGATGTGTATAAGAATGTATAATGTATGCAATTGTGTATCATGAGGAAGTCTATTTTTGCTGCTTTATAGATAAATGTGTATTCGGTCTAATTAAATACTGTAGCTTTGTAATTGTGTATAGGCCTGTGGATGCCTATTATGGGGCTAATATTTATACAGTACAGTATATTAAATACGTACATAGTGTATATATTATATATATTATATATATAATTATATTCTAAATAATAATTGATGATACCAGTAGCTATCAATTATTCTTGCAGACGTTAATTTTCTTATCGACAATATATTACGCTGCATTACTTTCAACGCTAGAAGTACGCACGTAATTCGTTGTTTATTGGACATACGAGAATATTTAACTACCAGGCTAGTTCGTTATCCACACTTGCAAGTTCCCGCACTGCCATTCCATTCCCTTGCCATTTCAAATTTACAGAAATAAATTATTTTAATATAAAATTTAATGGTAACTTGTCCCAGTCATAAAATATATTTATTTTTACAAAAATATTCTATTCCCGAAGAGTCTGGGATTTTAATAATGAGACTTAATCAAAATCCAGTGGGAAAACAATATACTATAGCTTCTAATCCTTCATGATTACATATAATATAAGTCTAGGCCTATTATTAATTCCAAAGTTTTTAGTATACATTCGGCCCTATCATGAGAGAACATGTTCATCATTTCCAAGAATAATAATATTACATTAACAGTCAATTTATGTAAATAATATAGGAAAGGTTTATGCGTCTTTTGATTGCCAAGGAAACCTTTCTAAATTCCAAGTGAAAATAACACTTTCCTTATATATGGGAAGGAAGCAATTTTGTTCCAATAAATGAAATATTTTTGTTGAGTTTTTTGCTGAGCACAGAGGCCTAT